AGCGTTTGAATACGGAACATTGGATAACTCCTGTAGGTTTGCTGTGCTAGTGATTTGCTCCAATTATGTGGTTCAGTTAATCAGTTAATGGTTTTTTAGAAAAATTTGTCGTATCTACTGCTGGCAAGACTGATCGCAAAGATCGATATGACCCCGGCTGTCTCACACGATCACCTTCAGCTTAGAAGACTTCTCTCCTGGCTTGCGAACTGCATTGAGATCCTCTTCCCATGGTTGGAGGCTTCTTACACTACTAAAGAAGGTATGAAATTATGATCCCTGATTTTGTAGCGCTTCAAGTCTTCCCTGAAGTCATAGTGATCTATGCCAATGCGGGGGAAGATCTATCACTAACGTTCAGAAGGGCTGGGAGGTTATGGGCGTGACTGGAGGGCCATGTCGCCAAGAGGAAATGCAATCTACGAAGTCTGAGGAGCTCGGGTAGTCAAACAGAATGCTAAATCACTGCAGCTTAATTGCGATGGCTTGTGAGTGGGGCTTCTATTACCCATAAATTTACTACTCTCAGAAAGCAGTAGCAGGATATCTTGTTAGCTGGAAAGCGACAAAATTATCGAACTTAATTAGAAGCTTTAGCTTTTCGCGAAGTGCAAAAGGTGGGGAAAACTGAATCTGAAATTGGTGCTTTTATCCACATGATAAGGTTTTTTGCTATTCGGATACCCTTGTTTGAAACATTCAATTCTTTCAATATAAGCTAGTAAAGGCGAAGTGTCTTGTTCTCTCTTCTTCGCAGTGCGAGCTCTGCTCCGGCAAGGCCAAGGTTCCCTCACGTCAGTTGTGGATTTTTTGTTCTCCGTCGCTGAATTGGAACTTTATGAACTAGCTTGCCCACACGTCGTTGGGATCATAGACAAGACACGCACTCGTCTGGTCTTTCAGTCCTACCAGCTAGGCACACCGCGAACATTGGGTTTCTATCGGGAGTGCATCGAAGAGGTCCACGAGCACCTCGCCACTCACCATGCCGACTTTGAAAACTGCAGTCGTCGATTTGAGGAGGCGCAGGACGTTTTCATTAAGCAGAGGGAGCTGAACACCCATTGCCTTGATCCTAAAACTTTGCTGGAATCTGCACCAGAGTCCTTTGGAGAACCTGATGGTGATGGTTGGTTTTGTCTTGTTTAGTTCTTTCTAGAATATTGTTCGTACGGCTAAGTTAAGCAATCGGGCATTTTCTGTTAACCCTTCTGTAGTTGCGATCGCTAACTTCCAGAAGGAGCTGTTTTTCAAGTGGCAACGTCTGCTTCACCACCCTAATCGCAGAACAATTCCGAAGTCACTGGACGAAGATGATATGCTTTACTATTTTGGTTTGAAACCCAACTGGCAGACTCTGAATGAAGACTACGCTGATCGCATGCTTCCACTGCCTCCACGACCAACCGTTGACCTTGACGAGAGCGATCCAGAGACTTTAAATATTCGCGAGATCAGAGCACTTCCAATGGAGATTATTATCAGGGAAGAAAAGGTCTTATTCGACCCTTCCAGTGAACCGAGGAGATGCCTCCTATGCACACGAAACACAGACAGTAGTATTGAGGATCGTCTAATTTACATCGGCTCCGACACATGGGCCCATATCAATTGTGCTCTCTGGAGCAAGGAGGTTTACGAGGAGGATTCGGGTCAATTGACGGGTCTTTCCGCTGCATTGCGTCGTGGCGGACGCACGCGATGCCTGGATTGCGGTAATTTGGGTGCCACGGTGACATGCTCAAACACCGAGTCGTGCGGTGTCGTGGTCCACTTCCCTTGTGCCATGCGTCGACGAAGACCCATCTCAAGCAGACCTGTTTTTACCGCCGACAGGTCCTTCTTCTGCTCACCCGAGTGTTATGCCAAAGCAAAAAAGGCGCGCCTCATTGAGGCCGTTCGTCATTTGCGTCTAAAGAAGCTCAGGCGTTTCTACATGAACGAGGAAGTGGGTGCGCGGGAGGAAGAGGCCATTAGAAATGATAGTAGAGATGTAGTCTCCCTAGTCGCTGCTAATGAGATCAGCGAGGAAGAGGTCGAAAACATCAAGCTTCAAGTTGATTGTGATTTAGAGGTAGGATGTGATCCTTTGTTGTTTGTGGTTTTTGTAGCAAGTGGCCCATAGGAATATGTTGGCTCTTCTCTTACTAGTACATTGCTTGACAAACTGGTACTGCTGTTAATTTTCAGTGGTGCCAATTTCACCTACCTTGGCTCGAGTATTTTGTAACTATGAATGGACGTTCCTGTTGAGTCTGGGACTAAATACACGGTAAATAAATAATGCTCAAAAAATAGGGCTTCCAAATTCAACTGCAATTCCTGTATTGGTTCTAATATTTTAAAATTCCACTAATAAGCTGGTTCCATTTAACGGTTTTCACTTATTCCATGAAACATGCCTCACTCAGTCAAATCAGAACCAAGCAAGTCATTTTCCCGCTGCCTCATAATTTTAATTCCTTATTTAGTGGAAGTCATTGCTTTGTGTTTGATTTATTGATAGTATTTACTAGAATTGGCCTTCATGAAATGTCACAAGTACACTTTGTTTTAAGGTGAAAGCTGAAAGTAAATGGGTTTTTGAATTTTCAGCATGATCGGTTGAATGTGATTTTTGAATACCTTCCAAGTGATGGCTTTACGGGCCGTCTCCATAATTAGTGATGCTTTGTTTTGTTTGTAAGAGTCCGGAATTAAAAGAAATGCTTGTTTTTCGGCGCGTCTTCGTACCATCTGACTGCTTCATTGCTTCAATGGGAGGTGACGGTATCAATTGTGGCAGTGAAGAGATGGACATCAGCGGCGACGAAGACGATGGTGACGGCGACCTCCGCGAGGAGGACCACCCACACCAGCCGGTTCTCGCTCTTGCCATCTCACCCAGCACTCTTGACTTTGCCTCTCACAAACTCCCCGCCTCTGCCTTCGTCATCACTATCGGAGCCCTGCGCATCGACCGATTAGGCCACATTGGCGAGGCTTCCGACTCCCTCTGTCGTCGGGGGGATCGTGAGAGACCCGGATACCTCTGCCCCATCGGATATCGGTAGATTATCTTCATGTCATCATCAACCTCTTGTGCTTCATGCCTCTCCTCCTGAGTCTTTCTTTTAGAGCACGGCGTATCTTCTGGAGTAGCACCATTCCAAACGCTCTTGAATCTTACACACTGAGCGTGAGTCAGATACATACTCAGCCTCTAACTCCAGCGCCGCAGTCAAATTTCGCTGACAAACCAATAGTGCATCACAGTAGTGCGCCTCTCTTACCACGGCCTTATGTAAACGACTTCCGGCCCGTAAGCCAACGTAATCCTTCCGAGAAGATGATGCCTTTACCAATGGTCGCAACTTCGCCTGGAAAGATCATCCCCACTCCATGCAGCCCGCGAACTTCCACATCTTCTGCTTTTGATCCGCATCCAAATAATCCAGTCGGTCTTCCCTCAATCCGTTTTACCTATTCGTAAGTCAGA